AACTGTAACAATATGTTTGAATAAACAGACTTGAGGCATGACCTCACCTTAACTCCAAAAAAAAAAAAAAAAAAAAATACAAACTCTAAATTAATTTTATAACTATGTAAATTCATTAAAATTGAGAAATAGATATAGCAACCTAGTGAAATGGTTAGGTTTTCAACTTCTCAAGTAGTAGGTTAGATATTCAAATCCTATCAACAATGAAAATTTGAATAATTATCTATGTAATATTTGTATTATAGCAACTGTTACTAATGATTAAGTTAGAATACTTGTAATAGTGGTTATACTAGCATGACTGACAGGTTATGGAGTATCTATATAATGTTGAAGTTATATAAAGAAATGCAAATTGACAAATAAGACAGTGCAAACACTAAATAAGTTCTTGTAACTAAGTAAATTCATTAAAATTAGGTAACAAGAAGTCTATTTGGAAAGATCTAAGTAGAAAGATAGCTGGATTTTTAATGAACTTACTGTAAAGACTAGCTAGATGAAACAGATACCAAGGTCTAGTATCTGGTCATAGTAGTCAGACAAACAAGAACCTTCAGGTTTGGAATCTCAAAGGTATTACCAATTAGGCTATTGAAATGAACCAAAGAAAAAGAATATCAGGCTAACCTGATATATCGATAGACTGGTTATAGTCCTATATAGATTATTTGAATTAGGAATTTAGTAAAAAGACAGAGGAAAAAACAGAGGTATAATAAAGTACTAGGGTTATGCTATGAAGTAGATGCTAGAGTCTAAGTAAACTCTACAAAAACATAGTGGTTTAATGATTAAGCTTTGATCACAAGTATTAGTTCTGTTATAGCAATATCTAGATTAGCTATAAAAATCGGTACAGAAGGCTCTGAGAAGTTTATTTTAAGGATAAATTAGTTTTAAAGTTGAGACAATGATCTGGGCATCTAAGTATAACACAGTGAACTAATATAGGTTACAAGTTCAGAGGATTTAAAATAGAACATCCAAGAAGGAGTATTAAGTACAACAATTAGTAGGAAACCTTTAAACAGACTTCTTAAATAGGTAATAAAGAAAAATTATATATGTAGCCAATTGTATACTCTTCTGTAATAGTTCATTGAACTACAATACCAATAAGTGATTAATAAAAGTCAAAAGACCAAAGAGGTCACCTTAATACTAAAAAAAAAAAATTAAAATTAAGAAACAAAAAGTTTATTTAAAAAAAACTAAATAAAAAAGATAATTTGAATCTTTGATAATGCTATTGTAAAGATTAAATTTAGAAAACAGATATCAAGATCATAGTATCTAGATAGATAAGAACTTTCAAATTAGAAATCTTAATGATACTACCAACTAGATTATCAAAATAAACTTAAAAAAAAATATATTGAGCTAACTTAATATATTGATAAATTGGTTATAATCTTATATAGGTTATCTGAATTAGGAATTTGATAAAAAAACAAAACTATACTAAAGTATCAGGAATATGTTGTAAAATAAATGCTGGAGTTCAAATGAACTTTACAAAAGCATAGTGATTAAATGATATAACTTTAATCACAAGTGTTGGTTCTATATAATAATACTAAATTAATTGTAAAAATAAGTGCAGAAGACTCTAAAAGGTTTATCTTAAAAATAAAATAATTCTAAGTTAAAACAATAATCTGAACTTAACTCAGTAATGTTAACACAAATGCAGATTTAAAAAGTTTAAAATAAAATACCTAAGCAAGAATGTTAAATATAATAATTAGTAAAAAAGTTTTAGATAAACTCTTTAAATAGATAATATAGAAAAGTTATATATGTAACTAATTGTACACTCTTCTTGTAATAGTTTATAGAATCATATTACCAAAAAAGTCATTAATAAAAATCAAAAAACTAATAAGATTATTTTAATACTAAAAAAAAATAAATAAAATAAAAATAATTATAATATTATCTTTAATATATTAATAAAATAACTGTTATAAAGCATGATCTTTAACAAAAAGAAAAGTTTTTAACAAATAAATTTAATTAATAATTTATCAGTTATCTGAAAAATAATCTTAGTATAATATGACATAAATCTTTTATGTTTTTTACTATAAACAGAAATACAGAAAGTATATATCTAAAACATTTTTTTTATCTAAATTAATAGTTTTTTTTCATCTAAATTAATAGTTCAAGTCTATGAATTAAAAGTTATAGAGCTCATTAAGATGCATTTAATAGTAGTTAGATCATCCAAATTGGTCTAATAAATGCTGAAATATTATTAAAAAATAATTAATTAACTATGTAAAATTCTATACAAATAACCTATTATTTATATAAAAATTTTATATAATTGCTAATCATTTTTTGATGATACCTTAGAATATATTAGACCAATTTGGATGATCTAACTACTATTAGATGTGTTTTAATAAGCTCTACAACTTTTAATCAATAGACTTGAACTATTAACAAAAAGTTTTAAATAGGTGCCTTCCGCATTTTTGTCTATAGTAATAAACATAAAAGATCGGTGTCACGTTACACTAAGACCATTCTTTAGATAATTGGCGAATCATCAATTAACATAATTATTTGTTTTAAGATTTCAGACATAATAAACAGAAAAACATAAAAGAAACTGTTAGAAAGATGCTTTGCTGATCTCATTACAAGTTTCAACAACAATTGATTTCAAAAACAAAAGAAAAGAATTTATGTGATAATTCAAAATGAGACTTATGATAAGAAACCATTCAGAATATTGAAAAATCAGAAACATACAAATGCAAAAATTGCGATATAAAAATAGATAGAGATGTTAATTGCGCCCGAGGGATATTTCTTCGGGCTTTTCTTGATGAAGCCATGACCTTGTCATAAGACATCTTCATGCAGGAAATAGTAACTTTACTTAGTAATACTTAGTATTGATTATTATCGAATCCATCCGTAAGTTTTTCAGAGTGCTATATCACGTGCGAAATTCATTAAATCTAAGTTGTAATGCAGACAACATAATCATATTGTAGGCCAAAATTGATATAGTGCGGGCCAGAGGTGCATATTTTTGGAACTATACGGTAAATTACAAATTTTCCAACATCTTTGATGGCATAAAAATAAAACCCGTTCAAAACTCTAGACTTTTTTTCGTTTTTTATTTAACATAAAAAAGCACATTATACATAACTTTTATACAAGACTTATACATATAAATAGTAAAAATGTTAAATTGAAAGGATATTTCTTCATTATTTCATGTTGCGCTATCATTAGTATTTCCTTCAATACTACGACTTCCTTCAATCATTTTTGGATGAAGTTTTAAATAAAAATTTAATCCGAAAGCAATTGTTAGAGAAACGCATACCAAAATTGGAGCAATAATATCATCTAAAAAAAAAAAAATAGATCCATTATTATTCAAAGCCATTTGTCAACAAACAACAAATGATAAGAGAAAACTTACCATAAGGGCCTGGATGTTTAGCATTGATCATACTAAGTCTCGTATTGTATTTGTAAACTGCGTACGTTAAACTACAAACACCTATTGCTGTATAAGCCATAGCACATCGCATTCCAAGTTCATTATCTGCAGCGGATGCATTAAATAATGCTAATGCAAAAGAACTTAAAAGAACGCTGAATCTCATCCATGAAAAGAACGTTCTTTCATTAGCAAAGAACACTTTTGCCTCCACTTTTACAGATTCTGACATTTTTTCTGGGGCTTTAACATTATAAGGTAGAATTACTCTATCTGGTCTTGATCGAGTCCGCCTTCGAAAGATTTTCCTAAAAGTTCTAAGACCGATAGGTCTATTATCACGTATATCTGAATCCTCATCATTTTCTAATAAAGGATGATTTTCGTCAATTTGTTCATCATCATCATCATCCTTATAAACTTCGACGGCTTTTCCTTTATCCCTCTTGTCTTTAGAATCGATATCAATTAAATTTTTCCCCGAACGCCTTGAACGTTCTTGATTAATACCATATAATCCAGATGACGTCCCTTCATCATAATCTTCATCATAATCCTCAGATGATTGACGTGCACTTGGTTTAAGAATATCTTTGTCGATATTGGGCAACTAAAAAAATATTCTAATTAACATATTTTGTTTTAAAAATTCCAAATACAAAAATTGATGACCGAACCTACCCAATACGGTAGAGAAGGTGCTTGAGAAGTGAACAAAGTTGCAACACCATGAACATATTTTGAAAATTGTGGCGCTTCTTCGACCTAAGTCCCGATATTAAAAATACATATAATGAGTATAATCATAATAATAATAATCATAATAATAATCATAATAATAATAATAATAGTAATAATAATAATAAAAATAATAGTAGTGACAATAAGAATAGGCCGTAAGAAACTTACCAGACCACTTTTAATTAATTCTTTGACCCAATTTGGTTCTTGTTCACCGTTTAAATTGAGTTTAATTTCTAAGATAGCATAAGGGAATTTGGTACATTCAGATGGAGCCAATTTTCCAAAATCAGCATCGTCTACATCCGTTCGACGCCAAGCATCGCCCTGACGACGTTTTACATCAAAATTATCTTCGCGATTCATATAGAATTCAGTATCGAGTGAGATTCTAACTCGATCATCAAGTGGGATTTGAAAAGCCATACGATTGTAATAAGTACGAAGGACTATTATAAACAATACATATATTAATAATTAGCCGATTTTTATAATAATATTAAATTATAGTCTTATATTACCTGGTTGCAGATGCTTTTCCCTAATGAAATCCTGGATATCTTTAACCAATGCCTGAAAATTTTCCACATCATCTTCGGTCTTACCAGGATTTTCCTTCATCTTCTTGATTGTCTTATCCATGGAATAAGTGCCTTTTAGGAATCCATCAACATATTTTTCTTTTATCAAGAACCGATCTTTAATTTCTTCTTCACCTTGTTCTCGAATTTTTCTTTCAACAAATATTTCATTTGTTGATTCTTTATTACCAAACCAACGTAATCTGATGAGCTGATCCCCAGGTTTACGATCAACCTTATCTTGATAAAGTTCAAACTCTTCATTATCAAAATATATTGATGTGACAGAAGCATCAGTGCCCGGCTTATATATCAAAACTGGGAGGTGACGCAAAATAGTGGTTTTAACTTCCATAATGTTATCCGGATGAATCCAATATTTATGAGATTGGCGCATAAATCTTTCTCGAGATGGTAACGTAGCAGTTGAAGATGTTACATTAGTTATAGAAGGAAGATTTAATGAACTTGGACTTTGATCTGAACCAATCCCTTGATGCACTATATGATAAAGTTGGGAAAGATTTATGATAATAGGTTCAAAGGTTTCTTTATAAAAAGGGCAAGCTTTTAATCGAACATTAAACAATGGATTAAGATCATATTTCGTTCGCCTAATAATATTGAATAGAAATATCTTGTATTAGACAAATTTATTAGAAAAAAAAAACAATAAATAAATAATTAAAGGACTATATGGATAATTACTTATTGTGTTTCTTTATAATTTTCATGATTCCTGTATAATTTAACCTATTATACTTTGCTAATTCATTCAATTCTTCGGTAATATCGTTAATTTGTCGTTCTATCTCAATATAGCGTTCTGACGCATTCGACGATGAATCTTTGCTTATTGAGTTCACAGAATTTTCACATTGTTGAACTTTACTTTTGATATCTTCATATTTAGAATTTTGAAAAGAGTGGACCTATTAAAGTTTTATTATCCATTATTAATGTGCATTGAAACTTAACACGTAAAATAACTTCATGGCTATATTAACGAAAGTACACTCTCACAGTACTACAATTTGCGTTATCCTTGAATTAAAAACCAACCTTTTCAAGCTCTTTATCTAACTTTTCGACAAATTCTGTTTCGTCTTTTCCGGTATATCCACCTTCTTTATTAAGTCCGCGTTTAAGGAGTTTCTTCAGTCCGTCATAATCAACATAATATTCGGCCCATTCATCATATAATGCTGCCCTTAATTGACTACCAAACTTCATTTCAAAAAAGATACAAAGGAGAACCTACGAAAAAAAAACCAGGAATGATTAATCCTGCTTTCAAAAAAAGATGAATTTTTAATTGAGAAATTTAATCTGTTGGACAATTGCTAAAAATTGTCTTGATCATCATTTGCGCCAATCTGATAGTGATAGGAAAATTATAACCTCCCAATGGGTAATTTTAAATTTACGACCGGCAAAAGTTATATAAAGCTAATTTTCTTTTTTCGTTCGCAAGTATTTATGTACGTACGACATAAATTTTACTTTTAATAAAACTTTTAATTGGCCAATTTTCAATCTAAAAACATTTTGATCAAAACTAGTTTCTGGTCTCATTTTGTATTTGGTTTTGTTTATAGCGACGGCTTAAAGGTAAATCAACGGGTAACCCCGATCACGGTACTTGAAATTGACTAATCGAGTTACAAAAAAAACGGATAAAAATTTCAATACATAGTATAGAGGCTGTAAATCGCAGAAATACTAGGACGCCAATCGTGTGTAATAATCAGAGGTACCTTTAATGATAGTTTATGCAATGACCTTAGATGTGTTGAAGTGATATTACAGTGAAGCCTCCATAAGTGCACCTTCTATAAGTGCACATCCTCTCTAAATGCACGCTTAAATTCGGGCCCAATTATATACATAACCTCCATAAATGCACTTTTTCTTATTGTTTTCTAAGTGCACGTCGTTAAAGTTCGGTCCCAAGAGCGTGCACTTATAGAGGTTTTACTGTATTCTGAAGTCGCTAAAAAAAAATTATTTTACCTGAATTTTTACTTGCAGTATAACAAATTATCGTATATATTCAAACACCAAAATAAAATTATTGGGTCAATAAATTTAAAAGAACTAAAATAACAATAATTAAGGTTATTTGATATAAGCTTTAGATTCTTTTTTTTTTAATGCCTTATACTATTACACCTAGTGCCTTTCACTAAAGATACTAAAGATGGATCCGAAGTACATACTCAGATTATCACACCGTGTAACGATAAACTCTTACCATTACCGTTACGCCCTGGTCCAATAATGTTTTTGTTTTGGACAATTTTGGCAAGGTTTTGGTCATATGATGTCATATGGCCAAAACTTTGTCCAAAAACAACTATCGATATTCACAAAGGTAAGTCATATAACTGGATTAAAAATGTTTGTTACTCAATATAGGATGGCTAAAGTAATTGATGAGACTCTACCCCAGTTATATGATAATTTATCTTTATTGGATGCCCCGATACATTACAGCTAAAACGATTTATTTAATCCATATATCAAATTTATATATGTAACTAGGATATATCTTCATATATTCAAATAGTCAAAAAAAAGGCATCTCTTTTCATAATCATCCTATCGATCCTACTACTAGACAAATTAAGTATAATTAACCTATTATATTAAAATCGTTCGTTTTACATCTATTTATATTAAATTAAATTTAAATTGTGTGACTCATTTGCCACATATATATATTCGGATATTCATGTAACATATACCATGAAGATCTTACCACCCATATATCCCGGGCACCTTTAAGTATGAAATTTTAGCCATAGCGATAGAACACAATTGTTAATGTCGGAATTTTTGAGATACTACTAACCCATATTTTTTGGTTAGTAGCTCAGGAATTTCTTAACATAAGGGTACTCATATATCCATAACTCCATAGATACGTTTCAAAGGTATTTGTTGTAAGAAACATAGATATAAATCAATGCCCGATTTAATAATAAAAAATTTTTTAAATAGATTAATATACATTTCACAAAATACTCTCAGATAATATACCCCCAACTATACAATTTACCTGTGAGTAAATTAAAATTTATTGTTATATGGAATATAAAATATCTGGATAGCTTGCATAGTAATTTATGGTAACATCTCTTTACATTATTCATTTATATGTAGGTATTCTTAGAGCTGTTACCCAGGTTAGGCTGATCTGTAAGGGTTACAAGTCAAAAATCGTCTTGACACGAGTCAACAAGTTAGAAATGTAAAGTATTTATTGTCGCGGCTGATGCTGGAAATTAGGGACCCCGATTTAAAAATATAAACCCCTTTCATTATCAAAACTAACCCTAAATCCTAACCTAACGGTAAAAAAAAAGCTATAAAAAAATGCACACCAAAAGTTTCATATTAAAATAGTTAAAATTTTCGTTCCCAGCTTCAGCCGCGACATTTGTTTTTGATGCTTCTGCACATAGTTTTTTGATACACCTAAACGTATCTTAAAATTTCTATACTTTTACCAACTTTTACTATAATAATGTGTAATCTTATTGGTTATGCTTAGATATATCAAAAAAGTAGATGCAGAAGTATCAAAAATGAATATTTTGCATCAGGAATAATTTATAATAGAATAAATTATAATAGAACTGGGTGAAACCCGAGTTGAAATTAGTAAAATCGCTATACTGATTACGTTAGGGTAAAATTTGCGTTTACTATGTTTTTTATTATGCAAAAGCGGATTTTACCATGTAGTGGGTTTACTAATTCACTACGTAGGTTTCTACCTGTCGCATTATAATTAAATTACGAGCAAGGTTAAAAAAGTTTTTGATGCAAAGCTTGAAATGCTCGTACTTTACAATATTTTAAACATATGGGGGGGAGTCAATAGAAAAGGGACAATCATTTTTAGTGAAATTTTTTTAATTTTTAAATTCAAATAACTCAACAACTATTTAATGAAATCTGCTAAAAAAAATTTTTATTTTAATCTTGAAATTATATAGAATTAAAATAAAAAAAATTTTATCAAATTTAATAAAATAATTGTTGAGATATTTAAGCTTAAAGTTAAGAAAACTTAAACTTAAAAAAAATTTGTTCTTTTTCTATTGACTCCTCTTCATATATCTCATTATACCACAATCTAAAGTTTAATTATTGAGTTTGACCTCTGTGATTATTAGCCTGGGTTATAACCTGGGTTGAAATTGTTTAGACAAGAGCTTTAGATGTTTTGTAAATCAGTATAATATGGTTTTAATTTTGACTTGTATTATACTGATCTGTTCAGTTGTATTATAATCCATTTTTCTAGGTCATTTTTTATGTAATTTCTAATTTTTTAAAATCAGAAGTGACAGGTTACATACTTGTTTATTATGTTAAAATTATTTGATTCATGTAAGTAACATTTAGATTACTAATATAAATAATTTTGTAAATTGTGTATAGAGATGTTAATCAATTTGGTTTAGTTAGTTTACAAGTTGGTTAAAGTCGAGTTGGTTAAAGTTAACTTCAAGTTAACTTTAGTATATCAATAATCTTTACCAAATTGAGAACATTGTATATGAATTATCATTATGTTTAAATGTCTATTATAATTATTACATGCTATACAATTAATCTTATTTATTAAAAGAATTACTTATTCTTGTTTATAACATACTAATAAATAGAATTAGTTTATGTATACAACAGAGACTGTTAATGTTACACATATATTAAAACTAGTAAGAGATTATATTCAGACACTATTACTGCTATAGGCTATATATAATTTTTCAGATAATAATACCAATTAAATTTAATATAATAAACATTTTTTGATAAATTCAAAAAATATTTTTAGAATAATAATAAAATTTGCATAAATTACAATAAATTTAGTAATTACATTAATAAAAACAATAATCAATATTGTTTATTTATTGTTAAAAAAAAATATTCTTATAGTAAAATTGTAATTATATTATAATAATAATGCAAAATATAAATGTATATCTATAGTTATCAAGATTTAAATAATAATAGGTTTGCTATTTACTAGTTTAAAAAAAGCAATTTTATAATAAAATTATAATTATGTCATACAATATATAAGTTCATATTTATAGTTACCAAGATCTATTAAACTAATCTAAAAAGAGTAATTACAAAATCTTAAAAATTTTAATAGTTATTATAACAATAATTATTATTAATTATTTTTATTAGCTAATAAAAATTTTAAGACTTCATAATCATTTTTTTATTTAATCTTATTTTAAAGATTTATTGTTTAAGCAATAAAAATCTCTGAAATTATATAAATCCAGATATTTTATATTATAATATAATTCAAATTTGTATTATATAAAAAAAAAATTAATAATAATAAACTTATTATACGAATTCATCAATTACAAAAAATTATTTAAAGTTTCTTAATTTTTCTTTTTCATTTATTAATTTATTTGTTTTTAATGAATATAATATTTTAAAAGGTTCTAATTCTAAAAATTTTATTAAATATAATCATTATAAGCATTTTGCTAAAATTAATAATTCTAAAAAATACTATCTAAAAATTATATAAAAAGCTGTACTAGTTTATAAATATATTAATGAATTTAGTAATAAACTTAGTAATAAAACTTTCAAATTTTATAATATATATTAAAATAAATAGACTAATGATATATCAATTTTAATTTTAAAGTAAAACATTTATTTATTTATAAAAATTTTTATTAAAATAATTCAAATTAGTAAGAGATAGAGTCTTGTAGCCTAGTGGTCTAGGCACTTCTCTCTTTACAGACAAGGTCAATAGTTTAATTTCAGCTGAAGGCAAAACTCTGTAATCTACAGAAGTATATAAATGTATATTAAGCCCTATAGCTAAGTCTATATAATTAGAAAATTGGTATATAAGAAAGTTCTCAGAAAGAAGTTTTTTAATATAGAGAGTTGGCACTCGATATGAGAGAAGTGGTGAATATACCAAAAATGAAGAGAAGATGCACTAGCAGGTGATATGGTGAACATAAAAGAAAACTACAGAAAAAGAATAGACTTACTAAAATTTGAACACTTCTGGCATTAAAACTGGTTCTAGTAGATATAGAATTTACTAAAATTGGATAAATCTAAGGGGTAATCTTGGTATTATACTTAGTAAGTTTGCATCTAGGGTAAATTCAAAGAATTATGGATACTTAGTAATATCCAATAAGGTAGTACTTAGATATAAATAATAATTAGATAGCCCTAACCTGTTCTGTCATGATACTTAGTAATATATATTGTATATATATACAGTAAGTGTTAAAAATCAGAAAGTTTAAATAGGGAACTTACAGATGGATCTCAGATATAGCATCTAGTAGGTAACTCATGGACAGAACCTTTAATTAGATAATGACTAAACTTATACATGTAACTAGTTGTATTTTTATTGATATATCCTGTATATAATAAATAATCTTATATGGCTAATAATAAAAAGACATCCAGATGAAATCACTCTTAAAACTAAAAAAAAAAAAATAATTCAAATTAGTTTTCTTTTTATTCAATATTTATAAATACTA